ACATTCTCTCTTATGAATTTTTTGGGGGGCTTCAAAAAACCCTCAAATTTATTCTCTCATAGTTCTGGAAGCTAGAAGTCCAAAATCAAGGTGTTAGCAGGACCATGCGCCCTCTGAATGGCCTCTCGGGAAAACCCATACCGTGTCTCTTCAAGCTTGTCTTGTGGCCACATCACTCCAATCTCTACCTCAGTCTTAACATTGCCTTCTCCTCTATTATTATTATTTTAATTTAAAAAAATTTTAAAGATTTTATTTATTTGAGAGAGAGCACGAGCAAGGGGGAGGGGCAGAAGGAGAGGGAGAAGCAGACTCCCTGCTGAGCTGGGAGCCTGATGCGGAACTCAATCCCAGGAAGCTGGGATCATGACCTGAGCCAGAGGCAGACGCTTAAACGACTGAGCCACCCAAGCGCCCCCATATTTTATTAATAAAACTGTTTTTAGATGAGTAGAAGAAAGACAAAAGAACTGGGGGAAGAGGACTGAAGAGACAAAACATGCTAATTTTTGTTTCCAGAATTTCGAGAGAAGGCTAACGTAACGAAAAAAGCCGAAAGTTAAGGATGTTGAGGCAGGATTAAAATCCAGATCTTCTGCTACCAATTCCAGGGCTCCCTCTGGTTCTCCTAGTTTTCATTCATTCATTCATTCACTCACTCACTCATTCATTTGTACCGAGTACCTGCTCCATGCCAGGTACAATTCCAGGCTCTGGGAATGGTGCTGTGGAAAACTCGGGCATCAAAGAGTTTATATTCTAGTAGGGGAGGCAGACATAATAATGATGACGACGATTATTATGTCAAGTGCAAAGAAAAATGGCGTCACAGAACGGGGAACAACAGGAATGGCATTTTAGATGGGGTGTTCTGAGCTCAGAACCTCCAGTTGCTGTCCGCGGACTCCAACCAAGACAGCGCTTCCGAAGGCCAGCTTGCCCCGCCCCAATAAACCTCTGTTTCGCGCTCAGCCTCGCCTAGCCTCACCGGGGTGGGGACTGTGGGGAGAGGGGCGTGCACACGGCGGGTGGAGAGCGCATGCTCCCTCGAGATGCGTGGCTCTGGGGATTTTAACTAGAACTCACGCTCCTTGCCTTAAGGCGAGTGGGAAGGATCCGTCCAATAGGAGTTTGCTTTTGAGGTTGTGGTTCCGCCCCCAGCCCAATTTCTACTTCCGCTTCCGGCGCTGAGGCTGTGCAGCTTGAAAATGGCGGCGGCGGCGGCTTCTCTGTTCCGGCTGTCTGGGCTGCTAGGTCGGTCCGGGGCACAGCTGAGGCGGCCCATGTCAAGTGGCGCCCACGGCGAGGAGGGCTCAGGTACTGGAGCTGCGGTTCGCGGGTAGGGCCTCAGCCCCACTCGAGCGAGGCGGGGCAGGACTGTGACCTTGGCTTGAGGTCTTGGGGGGGGGCGGGGTGAGACCCGGGCGGGGTCCCCATTAGGCATGAGCGGTCGTGCCTCCTTTGCAGCTCGCCTGTGGAAGGCTCTCACCTACTTCGTAGCGCTCCCCGGCGTGGGTGTGAGCATGCTGAATGTCTTCCTGAAGTCGCATCATGGAGAGCATGAGAGACCCGAGTTCGTCGCCTACCCCCATCTCCGCATCAGGTCCAAGGTAGGCCTTTGTAGCCTCTTCGAGCATCAATTCCCGTTTTATTACAAATGCGTAGTCTAAGTTCTTCATTCTCTAAAATCGTGCAAAATTTGTCATTTAATTTTTACAAATTTTTATTTTCTCCGGTTTTATGGAAATGTAACAGACTTGGGGGGAGTCACATCTGTTTTCTTTTTCAAGGTCATACAGTAAGTGCCCTTCAGATTTCTTTTTTTTTTTTTTCCTGACCCATCCGCCCTCTGCCTTCTCCTACTCTTCTGAAAAGGTTGTCCCTTGTATGAGACTTAGAGGTTTGGGAATCTCCCTTAGAGGGGCAAAATCTGAAGGTGATTCACCCTTCTATGACCTGGGCATCTGACAGGTACTAGCTGCATGATGAAGAGACTAAAAGCTTCTCCTATTCCTACCTCTGCTAGTTATTTTCACAACTGTTTTTATCCTTTGTTAGTGGTGTAGATGTAATCATTTGTTTTTCATTGCTTTTTGTAAGTATTCTTAACAAGATGCCCTGCTGGCTCTTTAATAACTATTACATCACTTAGCCAAGATAGGACTGGCCTTAACAGAAACTTAAGCTAGATTCTTAGATTCAGAAAGAATTTTTGAGTCTGAGCCCCACTCCCACCCTTGTACAAAGATGTAGAAGCCACTTAAGCATAGTTTTTAAGCTCAGTACTATTGACATTTGGGTCTGGATAATTCTTGTTGCGGCAAAAGGGGCGATCCTGTGAGTCCTAGGATATTTAACAGCATCCTTGACCTCTATCCACTGGATGCCCTCTCCCCGATATCTCTAAATATTGCCCCATGTCCCTGGAGGGGCAAAATCATCCAGGTTTGGAAACCACTGCCCTAGAGCAATTTTTTTTTCAAAGGCAGCAGCAAAAAATTGAGGGTCGGTTGCAGTTTCCAATTGTTTTAGATCTGGAACGAAGCCCAAAGTCTACATTTAAATAAGCATCTTCTCTTGTTTACCTCTACCATACTGATAGGATGACGTGAAGATTACACTTCCACAAACACTGCAGTGCCAGGGAGACGCTCATGAATAATGAACTTGAGTTTGCCTTTCCTATTGCCTACTTTAAAAGCTCTCCTGGAAGTTAAAAAAGAGCTCCCTTAAATTATGGGAAGGGTGAAATACCCCAATAGTTAAAGGACTAATTATCATTTTGTTTTTATGTATATTCTGTCACTTATCCTTATCTGAAGCAGTTATGGCAGTGCTGTTCTGAATTCTTTTCTGGAATTGCCTAATTGACATCTTCACTCCACAGCCCTTTCCCTGGGGAGATGGTAATCATACTCTATTCCATAACTCTCAAGTGAATCCACTTCCAACCGGCTATGAAGATGAATAGAACCTGGACCACCACCCAGTGGGGACCACAGCACTGGTTTGGACCATGGCTCTGCACACGGACCAGAAAAGTCTATGGGACCATAAGCTCACCTTCCTTACTTGTATCAGATGATGACCAGTATACTGATCTTCCATCCCTTTGCTTGTGGCAGAAGGTGGCTTAAATAAATAACTTAGATTGGTCAATGATCTGAGAGTTGCATTTTTTGGTGTTTTTCCCTCCGAAATCAGCATTATTTTTGTTTCTGTAATGAAGGTTTATGGCTCCTGTGTACAGGCCTCTGGATAACAGTGTTTTTAACAGTCTTGTCCTTGGTTTCTTATACCTGGGGTAGGTAAAGCCAAGCGACCGTAAGTGGAACTAATTTAAGTGTCAAGATTGGATCCTGACAGACTTTGGGTGGCAAAGATACTGAGTGGCCAATAGAATGAGTGGCAATTTACATCTCAAAGAGGTATCTTTTGATTGTCCAGAGGAAGTGCTTAGTCTTTGTCCTGGCTTTCTCTTATTCCATTCCACCATCATTTGCTGAAGAATATTCCCTGTAGTCAGATAATTGTCTCCAAATATGTCAAGTTCTCATCTTGGGGTCATCTCTTAGCACCTTGAAGACTGGAAGGGTCAGAAACTTTTGGAGAAATAAAGGCAGTATGGGGACTCCTGGGTGGTTCAGTCGGTGAAAGGTCTGCTTTCGGCCCAGGTCATGATCCCAGAGTTCAGCTTCAGTCTCCCTGCTCAGCTGGGAGTCTGCTTCTCCCTCTGCCTGTTCTCCCTGCTTGTGTGAACTCTCTCTCTGACAAATAAAATCTTGAAAAAATAAAAGGCAGTATTACACATTTTTGCATATAGCATTAGCTTTATTTGTTTCTAGAATTAAAACCTTTCCATAGCATTAAGAATTAGGGAGAAATAATAGAAACAGTAACAAAGTCACCCTTACAGAGCATTTAACTTCTCAAAATTTAAAGTCCTTGAAGTAGCTGAGATAGATGAAGTCACTATAAAGTCAAAATAGAATGAAGAACAATTGGGCGCCTGGGTGGCTCAGTTGGTTAAGTGTCTGACTCTTGATTGTGGCTGAGGTCATGATTGCAAGGTTGTGAGATTGAGACCTGCAACAGGCTCCACGCTGTGTGGAGCCTGCCTAGATTCTCTGTCTTCTCTTCCTCTTTATTATTCCCTCGGTAGCAGTTACAATGAAAGAACATGGTTGGCTTGGAATGGTTTTATTCTCGAGGCTCAACCAGACAGTTTTGTAATAAGATTCAAGAAGCTACCAGGTTTTGGCATTGCATAGTACATAAAGTAAACTGGTACTGCAAAGGTGAGGCATATGGAAACACAGGATGTGAGAGCCTTTTACAGTAAGGGAGAAAAGGATCCCTGCTATCTTTTCCACTTTGTGATCTAACCACAGCCTGTGCTTGTGCTTCCAAGTCCCCATAGAACCGTTTTACTTGAGCTGAGTCTGAGTTCAGGACTTGACTTTGGCTTGCTGCCTGGCCTCCCTCAGCTGGACTTCAAGTATCTTTTATAATTCTTGTATAATAGACCGTAACCAGTCAAAATATAAATGCAGAATGTATTGAAATGACATTCAGGACTAGTCATGTTAAATATGAAGCAGTCACACAAACTGGAGCGAGGCCAATACAATTTCTACCTTCTGTAAGTTGTTTCATACTATATTGGGTATATATAATTGAACCAGATTACGCAAGACCTGCAATTTTGGTGACTACTTGACATTTCAAAGTGTGTTAAGTGCTCACCTGATCCTGACATTTTTTGTGTGTGCAGGTACAGAAGCATATTAAGTTACTTATGTAACTTATTGTGGAAATAAATTTTAGAAATCAGTGAGGTTTCTAATTGTTTTAGCACACTATTGACCTTAGATAAATTTTCACTTTTTCTTCACCTTTAAATTATAAAACAAAACTTTCTCCAGTGTACATATGGGATATGTAAGGTCGCATTATAATACTTGTTTTGTAAAGTGCACTGAGTTCTCCAGGGGCAAATAATGAAACTAAGTATTACAATTTATTCCATCTTCATGATTACAGACATTACAGGGCAGGGTGGGTACACAAAGCAAATAGGACAAATTTCTCCCATTTAACTAGATGCAGCATTTTGGCAGTTTTAAGATAATACAGGATGGCTTAATTAATTGACTTGGGCTGAAAGCTGGCAAAAGCAAATCTTGGCAATTTAAGATCTTCCTTCATTGTTATTACAACAATCTTCATTCCTAAACTACACTATGAGCTCCAAAATGGTGTGTACTGTAACATTCTTCAAGCTTTCACATCTTAATCAGAAATCTGACATCTCTTAAGGCAGGGAACTCTTAAAGCTGTCTTCCTCTTGGCTAACTCAGTCCACCAGCAATCTTAAAAGTTATTATAAAAGTAAAACCGTGATCCCAAGCATTGATTAAAACCGTTGTGCTGGGATCCCTTTTCAGAGCCTTAGCTCCCTGAGAGAAAAGAGAGATCCTAACAAATTGCTTCCATGAATAATAACCTAGTACAATGTACCTAATGTCCTTCCCAGCAAAACTCAAGAGGTCAGGCAACCCTGATCATCCTGACAAGTTTATCAGTATTTACATAAAAAAGGATATTTAAAGCTGATCCTAGACCAAGTACCGCAACCATAGTCCCAAGCAATCATTCAGTTTAAGCACATGGAGTTCCTGTACGATGCCAGAGCAAGTGAGAAATCTCAAAGCAAAGAGTGATGGTTCATCATCTTTTACAAGTGAGGAAATCAATGAGGAAAGAAGACTACTGCCTCCTAAACTCCTCATCAAATCCTTGGCTATTTTCACAGCCTTAATTGACGAAATCCAGTGTCCTCAATTTCCTGATTGGAGGAGTCTATTTTCAAGGTGACTGTCAAGGTCAAGAAGAGCTTTCAGGCTTTTCTTTGCTATGGCCCATAAATTCCAGTCCTTCAATGGGAATCTCCTTCTCCTTTATTGCTTTCTGTTGGAGGAGAAAACACATGACACAGGTCTGTAAGAAGCTTGAGGACCAAACTTTGTAAATATGATGGTGCAAAAGTAAATCATATGGGACCAAGAGAACACCCAACCATGATTAAAGACCTGTACTTTTTTTTAACCTTAAATGTAAGACCAGAGAGCGACTGGAAAAGAGTTTCAGATGTGGAATTTAAACAGTATCTCCACTCTGTTATGACAGACACAAAATTCAAATCTGAGTTCCAGGACAGTGGCTATGTGACTTTGGGCAAGCCTCACTTTCCTGTCTATAAATAGGGATAAAGATAGCAACTTGCAACTACCCTGAGGATCTTTTAAGTTAACTAACTGGGAATGTTGTGCCCACTGAGGTTCTTAAAATCCAAAGCAGTTTCACATTCACTGAACTAGAATGAAAATTTCCTAGCGGGTTGAGAGATTTAACAGGCCAAAGAAGGAATTACAACAACAACAACAACAACAAAATAAGATCCTCATGTCTAACAGGCCAGATTCTAACACCCCTCTTCAACCCCCAACACTAATAGTGAAATAGCGCACCACCGCAAAAATCAAAGAAACGATTCTGGTGAACATGAACTAATCACTTCCTATTTGGGGAACATTCCATGTATAAAATATGAACAACTACGCGCACTTTGCGAGTTTAGGACGAGCACCAAATGAACCAAAGAATATCCCTGTGCTCTGTGAAATGTAACACATATTGTAAAAATATTTAACTTTGTCATTCAGAGAGATACCGGGCGGCCTTGGTGGTGATAATGGGGAGACAGCTCCTGCTACTGTCCTCACTGAAGCTTTTCTTCACCGTTCCCATCCCAACCTCCGCGAATTACTACCCGTGTGGCCGGGGACACCGCAGAGACAACCAGGAGGGTAGACACGCAAGGGCTCGGCCAACTGGCTCACCTGAACACACTGCTGATAGCGCTTGAAGAGGTCAGTGCACGGGTCTCCGGAGCCGTCCCCCTTGAGGAACTTCTCGGCAAACCAGCGATTGAAGCACTGGTCGTACTCCCGCTTCATGTCGGTGCAGGCCTCCCCTACGCTATTCATGGCGGCGGCGGCAGTAGCGGCGCGCTCTGATGTCGTCACTCTTGAGTGCGTCTCTCGGCTTTACGTGGAGACGCACTACGGCGGCTGAAGAGAGAAATGTGGGTCCGGGCGACGAGGCTGGGCCTTTGGTCCTGGTTGGGCTGGCGCCGGGGCTTCACCTCCAAGGCGGATCCTCAGGTAAAGGCCGGGGGCGTCAAGCGGGTGGCTGAGCAGGCCCCACCCGTGACCCCTGTTCTCCGCCTCATCCCTCCAGGGTAGTGGCCGGGTTACGGCCGAGGTGATCGAACACCTGGAGCGTCTAGCGCTTGTGGACTTCCGCAGCCAAGAGGCCGTGGCACGGTTGGAGAAAGCCATCGCCTTTGCCGACCGGCTCCGCGCGGTGGACACCGACGGGGTGGAGCCCATGGAGTCAGTACTGGAGGACAGGTAAACACTCGCGGCTGCGCACCCTGAAGCCTTGCCTGTGGCGCCTTCGCAGACATTTGAGGTGGCGATTATTAGTGTGTCCTTTCACAGAAGGGAAAAGAGCTTTAGCGAGATGGAAGAACTTGTCCACGGTCACCCCGTGGTAAGTTTCATGGTTTCCTTTGTTCATTATCGGTCCTATCATTCGCGTTTAAAGTCCTCGAGGCTTCCCAGTGTAGCTAGGAACCATGCCCGAACTGCTAATCATCGCCTTTGAGGCCCTATTTCACAGAGTCCTTGCCTACCACTCGGGCCTACTGCTCTTTTCACTGCATCTACATTAACTTTCTTACTTCTCCAACATGGCAAATTTGTTTCTTGTCTAGAATCTTTGCGTTTGCTATTCCCCTTTCCTTGGGCAGCCTATTTCCTTGGCAGGTCGTAGTTCTCTCCTCGGTAAGGCCTCTCCAAATATCCTCTCCCTTAATAATCACCGACCCCTGATCCTGTTGGATTTTCTCCAATTTCTTGATTATCTTATTTTTGTTGATCTGTCTCTTGTTAATAGAATGTGAGCTCGTGTTTGACTTGCTTACTTGTTAGATTCCTGTCCCAAAATATGGCTTGTACATATCTTCTGACCTAGTGGTTCCCTGTGGAAACATCTGTAAAAATGCAGCAAGATGTGTATACACGAGTGTTCAGGGTATCCAGACCTGTTTATAGTACAAAACAAAAAACAACAAAAAGCTCCCAACAAGGGGCCCTGGCCAGCTCAGTCTGCAGAGCATGCTCTGATCTCCAGGTCATGAGTTTCAGCCCAGCTGGGGGTAGAGTTTACTTAACCTGGGTGGCTCAGTGGGTTAAAGCCTCTGCCTTCGGCTCAGGTCATGGTCCTAGTGTCCTGGGATGGAGCCCCACATCCGGCTCTGTGCTCTGCAGGGAGCCTGCTTCCACCTCTCTCTGTCTGTCTGCTTCTCTGCCTACTTGTGATCTCTGTCAAATAAATAAATTTAAAAAAAAAAAATCTTTAAAAAATTTTTTGAACCCTAAAAAACAGAAACAGCCTAAGTGCCTTCATGGCTAAATACATCATCATGGAATGGAATATTGACAGTTGTTTAAAAATAATGCAACTATACTGATATGAAAAGATTATATTTAGTAAAAAAGGTAAAGTTCAGAACATTGTGTATGGGATTATCAGTACTTTAATGTGTCCTCTATTTGACATATTCTGGTATATTCATTAACTTTTGTTCCCTCAGAGCATGCAAGGAACTGTAATAATAGTTTTTTTTTTTTTTTTTAAGATTTTTTTTATTTATTTGACAGACAGAGAGAGAGAGATCACAGTAGGCAGAGAGGCAGGCAGAGAGAGAGAGGAGGAAGCAGGCTCCCTGCTGAGCAGAGAGCCTGATGCGGGGCTCGATCCCAGGACCCCGGGATCATGACCTGAGCTGAAGGCAGAGGCTTAACCCACTGAGCCACCCAGGTGCCCCTGTAATAATAGTTTTAAAGAAAGTGGAAACGCAGAGGAAAATTCTAACTTATCATCTTATAGTGAGGGCCAAAACACAAATGCCTAAAGGAGCAAAGTAATAACACAAGAAGTGATACAGTCTACTGTAATAGGGAGGGACAGGTCTTTGACAAAGCAGTTTGTGAATATTATACTAAACAGGTGCAGTCTCTCCACACTTCTACCAAATTTTGCTAAATCTTAATACATTTTTAAAGAAAATGCTCTTTTCTGAAAAGCAGACTTGTTTGCTGGTTGGGACTGCAGTTTCTTGGGCATAAAGACAGAGGCAGTCTACAACTCTGTCCTACCCTTTTCTTGATGGGATTTTTTAAAAAAGATTTATTTATTTTAGAGTGCAGCGTGGTGTGTGGGGGAAGGATCAGAGAGGGAGGGAAATCAGTAGACTCCTTGCTGAGCAGGGAACCTGATTCTCTGCTTGATCCCAGGACCCTGGGATCATGATGTGAGCTGAAACCAAGAGCAGACACCCAACCGAGCCACCCAAGCTCCCCCTTGATGGGATTTTTTAAAAAATACATTCTTGCAGTGCCTGGGTGGCTCAGTCAGTTAGGTGTCCAACTCTTGACTTCAGCTCAGGTCTTGATCTCAAGGCCATGAGTTCGAGCCCCAAATACTCAATATAGATGGGAGCAAAAAAGATGAGCTGGCATTAGCACTCTATTAGAGAGAACCAGACCTGTATATAACCATAACCTCTGTGTAAAGTGCTTGCTAGCCTCCCATTCTCACCTCCAATCTTTTTTTTTTTTTTTTTTTTTAAAGACTTTATTTATTTGACAGACAGAGATCACAAGTAGGCAGAGGGGCAGGCAGAGAGGGAGGGGAAAGCAGGCTTCCTGCTAAGCAGAGAGCCCGATGCAGGTCTCGATCCCAGGACCCTGGGATCACAACCTGAGCCAAAGGCAGAGGCTTTAATCCACTGAGCCACCCAGGCAACCTTCACCTCCAGTCTTTGATTCCGTCACATCCTTTCTCTATATTGTAATCTGATGCTCAGATCTACATAAGTCAGTTTGCCCAAAATTACATAGCACTTCAAAATAGAAATCTGAGGTCATTCGCCTACCCAGGCTCTTCAGGTGGCTCTCTAATATTCTTTAGGATAAAGACAAAAGCTCCACCAGGGCCTACAAAGCATCATTTAACTTAGCTCCTGCCCACCTCCAAGATAGGGCTGTAACTCAATTCCTCAAGCTCTCCATTCTGTTTCCTTCTCAGAATCCTCTACCTCATCCCACCCACTACTTTTTTTGTCTACTTTACTTTCTTCAGATTTCAACTGCCTCTTCCTCAGATTCTTCTTTTACCAAGTCAGGCTTTCAGGACCTGTGGCTCTCATGGTATTCAATAGAGCTGTAATTTTACATGTGTTTATATGTCTATTTGAGTAATTTTTTTTTTTTTTTTAGATTTTATTTATTTGTCAGAGAGAGAGGGGTGGGGGAGAACACAGGCAGAGCGGCAGGCAGAGGCAGAGAGAGAAGCAGGCTCTCCACTGAGCAAGGAGCCCGATGTGGGGCTTGATCCCAGGACCCTGAGATCATGACCTGAGCGGAAGGCAGAGGCTTAACCCACTGAGCCACCCAGGCGCCCCCAAGTGTGCCATATTTTATTCTCTGTCCCTCTTCTACTACTCATCCATGTACTGGGGAGCAGCATATCTATTATTACTCATCATATTCTCAGTATCTACTACCTAGCACTCAGTAAGTGTTTGTTGAATTTTTTTTTTTTTTTTAAAGATTTTATTTATTTATTTGACAGGCAGAGAGAGAGAGGAGAAAGCAGGCTCCCTGTAGAGCAGAGAGCCCAATGTGGGGCTTGATCCCAGGACCCTGGGCTCATGACCGGAGCCAGAGGCAGAGGCTTCAACCCACTGAGCCACCCAGGCGCCCCTGTTGAATGTTCTTTAAAGATTTTATTTGAGGGCGCCTGGGTGGCTCAGTGGGTTAAGCCGCTGCCTTCCGCTCAGGTCATGATCTCAGGGTCCTGGGATCGAGCCCCACATCGGGCTCTCTGCTCGGCAGGGGGCCTGCTTCCCTCTCTCTCTGTCTCTGCCTGCCTGTCTACTTGTGATCTCTCTCTCTCTGTCAAATAAATAAATAAATAATCTTAAAAAAATTAAAAAAAAAAAAAAGATTTTATTTGAGAGACAGAAGCAGTTCAGAGCAAGAGGGAGCAACAGTCTCAAGCGGACTCCGCACTGAGCATAGAGCCCAGCGGGGGCCTCTATCTCATGACACTTAGATTACAACCTGAGCTGAAACCAAAAGTCAGAAAATTAGCCAACTGTGCCACTGAGGTCCCCCGTTGACTGTTCTTTATTAGTATCTTTGGGAAAGGAGGGCATAGAAGCACAAAGAGGAGACAGAATTTCCCAGACCATGTAGAGGGAAACTATAAAGAAATGCAACTATTACTCAAGGAAGTTTGTGAAAAAGATGAAGAGGGTTGTATCTGGTAGCTGGAATAGTGACTTCATATTCAGTGATCTGCAGTCTTGCCATCAACTTGGAAACCAGTTTGAGTTAATTATTCCATTTTAGAGATGTAGCACTTATAGGACTTTTTTGTTTTTGAAGATTTTTATTTATTTGACAGAAAGAGACAGCAAGAGAGGGAACACAAGCAGGGGGAGTGGGAGAGGGAGAAGGAGAAGCAGGCTTCTCGCTGAGCAGGGAGCCTGATGTGGGGCTTGATCCCAGGACCCTGTTTTTTTTTTTTTTTTTTTTTTAAAGATTTTATTTATTTATTTGAGAGAGAGACAGTGAGAGCGAGCATGAGCGAGGAGAAAGTCAGAGGGAGAAGCAGACTCCCCATGGAGCTGTCAGGACCCTGTTTTTTTGAACATATTGCCTAATGATTGAAATGGAACCCAATTAAGACATGGTTCAACCGTTTTAGGCCACACTAGGCGTAAAAGCACTGACTGGCTATAAGAAATCTCTTGGCATATTAATACCTAACCTTTGGTTTTAGCTAGAAAGCATTTAGTGTCCTTATGTGCCAGGCGCTAAGATTTTATATGCATTGTCTAAATTATCACATACAACTCTGGAAGGTAAATGCTAGTATCTCCTTTATAGATGAAGAAACTGAGG